CACCAGGGTCCGTGCTCACAGGAGATACTAAGTAGGCACCAATCAGGCACTGGATTGTAAGCACCTGGGGTACCTGAAGCTAAAAACAAGAGTCAATAGCAGAATAAGCTGTTTAGCACTGGCAAAGAAGATCTGATAAATTTTTTATGGGCATAATCCACATACTCACCTATGCTGCCAACCCGTTCTCACTCCCGACGCGTAAAATAATGACGATTTGTCACGTCCCTTAACTTCTCATGCTGACGCCTAAGGTACCCTTCCACGTTTTTATGTGAAGCTGTGGGTTGTCAATTCATTCCAATATGAACCCTCAACGCATGAATACATTTTCCTTACAAACATGGCCCCATTTAAGGGCAAATAAACAGACTTTCTGTTAGAGTCAAATTGTTAAATGTTGCCATTCTTGTACTTAAATCTGTAAGTCTTAGTTCAAACTGTATGATCAAAGACATTCCTTTGTTTCTGACCCCCTCCCCAGCTTGTTGAAAGGTGGGGGAGGCTGTAGTGTTTTATTAAAGGCACATCCCAGGGGAAGGTTCTGTTTTCTTGTTTAGTAAATTTTCTGCTGTCATGACCCTTTTGGTGAACAGGAGGTCACACAAATGCAACCCCCCCCCACACACACACACACATATAGTGTGTGTTTTATAACCATAGGGTTTTTTTTTATTTTTATAATGGGTGTTTGTGTAAATTGTGTGTCACAGAAATAAAAGGCTGATTGTTCTTCGAAGTGGTCTGACACCGAGGACAGAAGGGCTGCTCTGAGATCCTTCCTTTGCTAGCATGTGAAAACCCGGTTGAGCTGTTCGTCTTGCTTCGTTAACGGGAATAAGTCTCTAAACCAGCGGGGCCTGTGGAAGCGCAGACCTACCTAACACTTTCCAATAGCACAAGTTTTTTTGCCAAGAAGAAGTGCGACAGCAAAGAACTGATTGCCCAAATATAAGTTTCCTTACTTTTTCTATGAAGTTTATATGTTTGTAAAAATAAAGTAAACCATCTGCTCTAAACAGGTTTACATAGACTCAAGATCCCTTTTATCATTTTCTTGAAAATGTGTTTTTGGGGTGTTTTGCCAAACTCTAAGTTTCCTCAGTCACACACCTTTTTTCCTTCAGTTAAAAAAACTTGCAGATCTGGCATATTGATCTATCACAGGTTTGATAGCTTATCTCTGGACAGTCAGCTTAAAGAAGAATTTGCAAAGTTCATTGTATTTATTTAAGAGCATTTTTGACAGCCACAGCTGTGGCACATAAATTATTTTTATAAGACATTTATCACAGACTACAGACTGACAGAATTACAAGAAACACCTTTTAGTTATCGTCCTTTTTAGTCGTCTGAAAATTTCATATAAAAGCATACGTTTATCTGTTTTAAAGACACAGATAATTTAAGACACAATTACACAAGTAGATATTTCAAGAAGACAGTGTAAACAAACATTTAGGGCAGGGGTAGGAAACTCCAGGCCTCGAGTGTTGGTGTCCTGGAGGTTTTAGATGTGTCCATGATCCATCACAGCTGATTTAAAGGGCTAAATGACTCCTCAGCATTTCTTGAAGTTCTCCAGAGGCCTGGTAATGAACTAATCATTTGATTCAGGTGTGTTAACCCAGGGTGCGATCTAAAACCTGCAGGACACCGGCACTCGAGGCCTGGAGTTGCCTACCCCTGATTTAGGGGCTGTGGTTTCACATGTTGCTCCACCTATCATGCGTTAGAGTCACCTTCCAGTAAGTTTCCAGGTCACTTACCCAGTATATGTACTCGGACTAGCACCAGTATGTTTGAGACTCATACAACCAAAAACTGTCTCCTGTTTATTGTGTGAATGCCTCAAGAGATCCTGTTTCTCTTTAAACTTTATTCTACCTTATTCTAGTTGCTCCGACCTTTGCTGGTTAACTACTCGCTCAGTTTTCAGCCGATTTCCACCATTTAAACTTTAATCTGTTCTGCTCCCTATGCTAATGCCAGCTATATCTTTTGGTGCTCATACCTTTCATACTTTTTGAGATATTAAGCTTTTTATGCCATTTTTTGGCAAATCCCACTTATGACAAAAAAAATATTTCAGTAAACAGTTCAACTTTTTTTTAAACTCTTTTCAACACAAATTTCAGCTTTTTCACCTCTTTTCAGCAGAATTTTCCATTTTTCAATACTTTTCAGCACAAATTCCAGCTTCTTTCGCTGTTTTCACTGCAAACTTCAGCTTCTTTACCTCTTTTCAGCAGAAATTCTGCTAATTCACGTCTTTTCAGCAGAATTTCTAGTTTCTTGGCCTGTTTTCAGCAGAATTCTCATTTTTTTAAACTCTTTTTAGCAGAAAGTTAAGCTCTTTCACCTGTTTTCATCACAAATCTCAGCCTCTTCTGCTCTTTTCAACAGTTTTCAGTTTCTTTACCCCTTTTCTGCACAATTTTCTGTTTCTCCATCTCTTTTCAGCAGAAAGTTCAAAAAGTTCACCTCTTTTGAGCAGAATTTTTAGCTTTTTCACCTCTTATCAGCACAAATCTCAGGCTCTTCTGCTCTTTTCAACAGAATTTTCAGCATCTTCACCTCTTTTCAGGACAATTTTCAGTTTCATATCTTTTCAGTCACCTGAGAACAAGTTTGGCTCAGTGAAATGAGCAGCTGCCTTGAGACCAGTTGGCGCTGGTTCAGATCCTACCTGTGGTGCTTGCTGCACGTCTTCCATCCTTGAACTCTCCCTGCTTTCTTGACACTCTTCTGTGGTGTCTTTCAAATAAAGCAGAGTTCAGCTTCTACACAGTGTTTTCAGCGGAGTTCTCCTTCTGCTGTTTTCAGATTCCACTACACGGCATTCACACTGCATTTTCGCAGGAAATGCAACTTTTTCTAGTTTATTTTACTTTTAAGTTATTACAAATGGAACAACAGGACCGGGGGATAGGAAAGAGAAAGACAAGAGAAACTGTGAAAAAGAGAGGGAAAGAAAAACAGAGGGAAAGAAAAACAGAGGGGAAGAGAAGCAGAGAGAGGAGACACTAAAATCCACTAGATCACTTGCTGGGAAAACCCTCTGAAAACATATGTTTCCACAGTCTTGAATTCACAAGAATCAGCCTGAATGTCCCTGTACACTGCCCGACACGGTAAGAAAACTGTTTGATTCCACAGCTAGTTAAAGCCTCCACTATCCAGTGCAGAAGCCTAACCCTAGCCTAACCCTAACCCCCTGTGTGCAATTACAGTGTATTAAAAGAACAGTACATAAAAATGAAATAAGCAAGAAAGTACTACTTCACAATAAATATTACACTAAGACAGGATTGTAAAGTAAAAATTAAATTCCCCATTATCGTACACTTGCCCATATCCACAATAATTCATATCAGACTTATTACTAAAAATACATTCTGTGAAATGTGAGTAAAGTAAGAGAAATTTACAGATCTTTATCTTACTCAATACTGTTGACCATAATATTTTATTACAGTGATTAGAGCATGCTGTAGGTATTAAAGGTACTGCTCTCGTTAGTTATGGAGTTCTACAGGGTTCCGTAGCAGTATTATTAGAAAGCAAAGCATACATTTTCACTTTTATGCAGATGACACCCAACTTTACATACCGATGAAGCCAGATAACACACACTTATTAGTTAAACTGCAGGAATGTCTTAAAGACAAAACGACCCGGATGACCTCAAATTTTCTGCTTCTAAATTCAGAGAAAACTGAGGTTATAAAAAAATCGTCAAAATATGGTCTCTAACCAGATGGCTACTCTGGATGACACTACCTTGGCCTCCAGTAACATTTTGAGGAATACTTTTTGAACAGGATATGTCCTTCAAAGCGTACATTAATGTAGGACTGGACCCAGACACACAGTGTACGAAACGTTTCTTTTTATTTCTCGACACAGCAGTGTACTTTTAAGGTTTGGCACACACGATTCTCACTGGAGGTGTCTCCTGGCGTTGCGCACACCTTCTAGAGCCTTTCCTCCTCTCGTGAGTGTCACGACTCACTCGATAAATCTTTTAATAACACATAGTCGGGAGGTCTGCACGGCTTCAGGGCGCACCACGTGATAATCAATTTCTATCACTTGGCTGAGCCTAGAATGTTATCACAAGACTGCTCCAGTGGAAAATCTCCCATAAAGTGAACCTCCCAAGCTGGCGGGACCTTCTAGTGAGGCTATTAATGGTTGTAATCGCATCCCTGCATACTGCCACAACAGTTTATTAGACTGGCCAATCCATACCCAGAATTAGGGGGAGCGACAGGCACGAGCAAACCGCACCCTTAATCCTATGTGTTTTGTCCTTGTATTTTAATATCAGTGGCACAATAGGATACTTGTGAATATCACCATGAACACATCTCACTTCCATCCATTCTGCCTCCAACAATGCCCCACGGCGCGGCAACCGCAACCAGCTGCTCCAGGTCCCCCATCTGCCGGTCCAGCTATTCCCACAACTGCTCCATCTGCTTCTGTTGTGCGCCCGCCTGATCACGGCTCACGGTCGCCATCTCTGCCAGCATCTGAGCCAGGATTTGGAGTGGCTGCGCTTGTGGCGCGGCCTGAGGCTCGGACATACTCCACTGGGTTTCAGCACCACTGTACAAGGACCGGACCCACACAAACAGTGTACGAAACGTTTCTTTTTACTTCTCGACACACAGCAGTGTACTTTTAAGGTTTGGCACACACACTTCTCAATACAGCTCTCTCCCGGCGTTGCGCACACCTTCTAAAGCCTTTCCTCCTCTCCACTCCAGCATCACTGACAACAGTAGAGAGCTCATCAGTGCCACACGACTACCTGTCCACTCACCTGCCTGGCACTGCCCCTTGAACTCGCTGCGCCACCCCTCCCTGCAGCTGAGCCAGGGACCACACCTCCACCACAATTAAACATACATGTAGGACTGTTTTCTTCTATTTACACAATATCTCCAAAATTAGAAACATCCTGTCTCAGAACGAAGCTGAAAAACTAGTTCATGCATGTATTACATTTAGGCTGGACTACTGTAATTCATTATTATCAGGGTGTCCGAAAAAACTTCAGACAGGAACTAGAAGGAGAGAGCATATTTCTACTGTACTGGCTTCCATTCATTGGCTTCATTGGCAAATCCAGAATCAAATTTAAAACCCTTTGCCTCATAAAGTCTTCTATAATCAGGCTGCATCTTATCTTAAAAACTTCATACTACCACACCACCCCAATGGAGCACTTTGCTCTAAGACTGTGGTTCTGAGGTTCTGCAGTTTTGTATACTGGTCCTCAAGAGGAATCACATTTATATGATGTTTGGTCAATGCTGGACAGATCTCAGCAGTTTTTTTCTCCAGCAAATGGATTGTATCTTAACAGTCCTCGTCCCGATGCATTCTCAGCATACGTAGCTCATCCTCCAGGTAGGCAATCCTATTAATCAGAGCATCTTTCTCTGTCTGAGCCTTCTGATCTGCCTGCCATTGAGCCTCCTGCACCTTCCTCTCATACCAGCGCTCCATCTGAGTCGAGACCGTCTCAAAGAAATACTGGGTCACCTCAATGGCATGCATGTTGTCCCTCTCCTGAGTAAACGTAGGCTGGCCTCCAAAGACCTCTGGAGGCCTGACCTTTATGTCCCCTCTCAATTTAGTCCTACCCTGAAAATATTTCTTCTGGTGCTTCCCTGTATCACAGTGTCCTTCCTTCTCTCTGATCCCTATGTCATTTCTGCTGCTGCAGCGCCGCTCCGTGGCTGGAGAGAAGCTGCTGGATCTTTGGCTCCTGGCCCCACTCCTCATTATGTCCACATCATTCAGCTCCTGGTTCTTCCTCTTGGTGTCAGCAGAGGTCACAGAGCGCTCCTTTGGCCGAACCACCTGAACAGATGATGGGGGGTTCTTGGCTGCTGTGGGAGAGTCATCCTCAGTATTCTGATCCTTATCACCATCTGTACAATTCACAAGAGGTTCAGCCAACATTAAGCTTCACGGTACCCTGCTGTGCTTCTAAATTCAGATACAACTGTATTTGGCCCTAAAAATCATGTGTGTGTGTTTTTTTTAATCCTGTTGGCGTTCCCCGAGCCTGGTTCTTCCAAAGATTTTCATCCTGCTTACTCATGAGCGAGTGTCTGATTGGGGGTTTTCTCTGTATTATTCTAGGGTCTGTACCTTACAATGCAAAGGTACAGACCCCTGAGGCCTGTCTGTTGCTGTATAAATAAGATTAGAATAGAACCCACTAGGCAGCCTGATAATTAGCATGCAATGCAAATCTGCAGTCACGAATAGCATGTAGCATTTTCTCTGTTGTATTTTCATGGTGTGAATAGACCTATAAATGCTGTATAGAATTCCTGTTTTTTCAGATTCCAGAACTGATGCCAAATTTGGGTGGGAAAGGGTAGGAATTATATAATTGTTCATTTTTTATTATTTGTTTATGTATACTGAAGATACTTGCTGTTTTCTTTTGCACTGGCCACTTAGCATTTAGACATTATCAAGACAGACTTTGATGACCAGCTGTTCTGAATTTTTCAGAAACTGCTGGGTTACTGGGATTTTCCCACACAACCATACACAGAAAAATGTGGAAAACAATTTTGTGAGCAGTTCTCTAGGCTAGGGCTGCTCGATTATGGCAAAAATGATAATCACAATTATTTTCACTGAAATTGAGATCACGATTATTTGACGATATTTATTTAACCCTTTAAGACCTACCATAGAACCAAGTCCGCCAGAGCTTTTTTTTTTTTTTTTACATGCTGTAGTGCCATTTGTGGGAGCATTTCAAGTTGCTATACATCAATACAACTGTTATAGCCCATATTTTAATAATATGTATGCATTAAGTCCATAGTAACTACATTAATTGCAAAAAAGTGCAATAAACTACAAAAAAAATTGAAAATCGCTTTTGTTTTGTTTACATATATTTCTACTTGGAGAAATTTAAGAGGCTTATCCCTCAAAGCTTTAAGTACAATAAAGTTGCAAAAAATAGTTTACAACAACAGGAAATTTATTTTGAGTGTCTTCATAGTTTTATTTTGGAGATACAGCAATTTTTATATACTGCAGGAAAAACAAAAAACAATCCTATGATGCAAATTTGCAAAGAAAACAGCATGTGCATCATTTCACTGTGGGAAGTGTTACGAACAGCTGATAGGAACGGCAAAGCGTGTTTCTGGAATATTATGTTTTTGTTCCTGCAAGCGCTTTTTATGCAATTTTTGCAAAGCTATATGTGGAACGAAACCGTGACCGAGGACAAGCTGATGGCATCAGATGTAAGTACAACTCCTCCGGTTTCATATGCAAAACAAATTAGTGCGCTAGCTTACACGGTTCAGGTTCTACAGGGGTTTAACAATAGTTACGCAAAACGGAGCGTGCTGCTCTGACCGGCTTTAAAGGGTTAACAATGACTTTAAAAAAATAATATAAAATAGTGTGCAACACCACTGAAGTTTCTTTTAAACTCTCTTTTCAACCAACGGCAGTCACTCTCCAAATAACTTCTGCTTAGCTTTCCGAGCTTCCCTCGGGTCCTCTTAATCAGCGGTCTCCAACCTTTTTTGCGCCACGGACCGGTTTATGCCCGACAATATTTTCACGGACCGGCCTTTAAGGTGTCGCAGATAAATTAGGGAGGGGCTAATAATCGGCTCAGTCATTTTTAATGATCGTTGAAAGCCCAGATCGTAATCGTGATTAAAATTCGATTAATTGAGCAGCCCTACTCTAGGCACAAATGCCTGGTTGAGAATGGGCAAACTGAGTTCCTGAAACAGTAACTCATTACAACCAAGGTATTCAGAAGAGCATTACTGAACAGTGTACACATAACATGTGGAACCTTGAAGCAGCTGAACTACAGCAGAAGACCACACCAGTTATCACTCCTATCAGCTCAGAACAGGAAAATGAGGTTTCATTGGATTCATTTTATTAATTTACAGGGTCGCTGTTTTAAATTTGATTTGAAGCTTCTTCTTTTTTTTCTTTTTTTTCTGAAACAAAACAAAACATCTTTGTTTATGCTGATTTGTTACCTGGAGAGCTCTCCACATGAACAACAAAGTAGTGACTGGCTGTGCCACCCTCTGCCACACTAGACTCTTCCCGGCTGAACTCCAGGAGTGGAGGGTCACTGTGGTGCTCAAGGCACTGGGAGCTGCTCCCTTGTCCAATGGGCACCACAGCGAAGGGTGCTACATTAGCTTCGGCCACAGTAGAGGAGTGCTGTAACTTGGTGCTGCTGGGCTCTCCTGTGACACGGCCCTCCATGTTCTGCAGTTTGGACAGACACCAGCTCTTCAGTTCACTGGCCAGAGCTGTCTGCTTAGGGGACACAATGAACCACACACAAGAGTTCTATTAATGACAGAAGAGCTCATTAGATCAGCTCCCATTCATTTAATGCATACACTGTCCTAAAAGTAGATTAAAAGAAAACAATGATGTAATCTTTAATGGAGTTCATCTATTCATCATTATATCCTGACATCCACCTAATCCAGCACATTAGTCCCGTATAAGATCACCTACTGAGATTGAAAAGTTGTGTACAGTTCAGTTTAATTAATTGTGCACAGGTCAACTGATCAGGTCCCCTGCTTGAAGATATACGGGCACTTCAGCATACTGTGGACCAGCAGTACAGAAAAAGAATGATAATGCTAGCTGCAGGAGTCAATAGACATACTGAAGCATATATTACTAAAAGAAGTAGAGACCAGACAGAATTGCACCCTATTAATATTACAGTGCCTCTTTGTACAGCATCAAGCTATAAGAGAAGTCCTGGAATCTCTTTGGATAGACCGTCTCTAGAGTCAGCTCGTGTGAACATGATGCAGTTGACAAAATTTTATACGTAATATATCGAGAACATCTGACTAGTTTAATGTTCTGGGGTTCCACAGCCAGCTGAGTGCGAATGAGGCAGTGAAATGACTCTGGGTGGAATGTGCTAATGTAATTACACGGCAAGATATTCCTCTGCCTTCAACAGCATCCACATCCAGTTTATAGGTTCATAGAATGTGATCTATAATTGTGAGCATTTGCAATACTGTTATTTCAATTCAATTCAATTGAATGTTTGGGCCCACTGTGTAATTATTAGTATGAAAATCATGACGACTTAAGAAATGCTTAGAAAAATGACAGTAACATCTATTCTACTTCACATACTTATGACTTAAAGGAATGGGCCACAGCACCAATAGCTTCACATTCACAATTAAAACAACAATTCTATTTTGTTGGCTAGATGTAATAAAACTATAACAATTGCCATGAGGGCATTGGTTACCCTGTGAAACATTCCAATAGAGCACTTCACTCCCAGGCGCTGGTTTACTTGGGGTATCTAGGATTTTTAAAAGTAGAATGGGAGGCAGAGCCCCTCTTTTGTGGAAGCCTAACAATAGGTTTAAACTTTCCTTTTTGAGGAAAGCATAAAGTTGGGGCTGGATCAGGTGACCTTGAATCCTCCCTTAGTTATGCTGCAATAGGTGTAGGCTGCTACAGTTTCCCATGATGCACTGGGTGCTTCTTCACTTACCTGTGTGTTTACACCACTTTGCACTTAATAATTAGTTATTATTCTCTGGCTTTCTTGCACAGCATGTCTTTTGTCCTCTTCTCACCCTCAATTAGTCACAGCAGATGAATGCCCCTCCCTCAGCCTGGTTTTGCTGGTACTCCTTTTCTGTTACTTTTACGTTAGCTGTAATGGGACACACACCTTCCAAAAGGTTCAGCTTTTATCTCGTCCGTCCACAGAGTATTTTCCCAAAAGTCTTGGGGATCATCAAGATGTTTTCTGGCAAAACTGAAATGAACCTTTATTTTGTTTTTGCTCAGCAGTGGTTTTCGTCTTGGAACTCTTAGCCTGCCATACAGGCCATTTTTGCTCAGTCTCTTTCTTATGGTGGAGAAATGAACACTGACTAAGGTCAGTGTTCATTGAGGCAAGTGAGGCCTGCAATCTTTAGATGTTATTCTGGAGTCTTTTGAGACCTGTTGGATGAGTTGTTGCTGCTATAACCTTTCCGGACTGAGAGATCTCAATTACTTTGTTTGTCATTTTTTCCTGAATTTCGATCGCAGCATGATGTCTGGCTTTTGAGGATCTTTTGGTCTACTTCCCTTTGTCAGGCAGGTCCTATTTAAGTGATTCCGAACAGGCGTGTAGTAATCAGGCCTGGGTGTGACTAGAGAAATTGAACTCAGCATTTCAAAGATGTGATACACCACAGTTAATTTATCTTCTTAATTATAAACACCTTCATTTAGAAACTGCATTTTGTGTGTACTTGTGTTATCTTTGCTTAATATTTAGATTTTTTGTTAATCTAAAACATTTAAGTATGACAAACATACAAAAAAATAGGAAATTAGGATGGGGGCAAACACTTTATCACAGCACTCAATGATGATGCCCAATTTCGATAGCTTGTTGTGTCCCAATGTCATGCAGACCCCGGTTAACATTTTCTATTGTCTTTGTTTGATCTGGAGATTACAGTAAAAGGTCAAAAATGTTAAATTTCCTTTTTCTTCATGAACAAACTTCACACACAACAAACATCATTCTGTGATGGCTTCATACACAGAGCAGTCAGAGTTCCACAGTCAGAGGTATCCTGACAGTGTTACCTGTCTCTTTTCTGCTTCACGTCGTTCCTGCAGGGCCCGTTGCTCGATCCTCTTCAGACAGCTGCTTCTCTCTGCTGACGCTCTCTCCACTGTCATCTTGTCAAGAGCCCAGATCTAATCACAGACAACAACGTGAAAACAGGGCTGACACCGTTAAAAAGATAAAGGATTTATCTACTGTGCTTCCTATCATTTTACTGCATGTCTGCATTCAAACCCTGCTGTCACACAGGCTAAAGGCAGAGCTTTATTCACCTTCATTCTACAAATGCATTCAAGTTTAGGCTTCACTAAAAACCCAAGAATAGACAGACATCCTTGTTCTGTTTATTCTGTTCTGTCACAGTTTTACAAAGGTGTATTAGGGCCACATTAAGAAAAAAATTGAGAATAAAGTTTTATTTCAAGAAAACAGTCATAATAAAAAGCCAAAATGTGCACATTACAGTTACTGTTTTAAGACAAACTGTCAATGCTGCCATACCCTCTACAAAATGACTCGTGTAGAAACAAACTTGGTGAAACAAATTGATCGGTTGTTTTGTGATCGAACATACATTCTCTTTATTGCACGATGGTGCAATCTGTTCATTACCATCTGTCCATATTTTGTTTTGTACCAATCCACTCTTCCCTGTTTGTGTGTTTTTCAGTCTGACCACATGCATCCTCTTACCACACCGTGTTTATATGCCAAAAGAGAAATCATTTCCTTCTTTGTAACTAAAACCAATTCTGAATTTTTTATTCTCATGTACTAATATTATTTTATTATTATATGAATATAGCGCAAGGTTCAGTTACCTTTGTACAAAAATAGTTGGTAAAATTGTCCTTCAAGGAGCTACTTTTTACTTTCTTACTTGGAGTACATTCCAGAGCCTGCACTTTTTCACTTTGACTTGAGTAAAAAAGTTGCTTCAGTACTTCAATCTTACTGGAGTAGCTTTCAACCTCTTTACTTCTACTTAGATAAGTAAATTCTGTACTTTTGCTACTTCTGCAGACAACACACACACATAACACATAAAAATAATTACTCACACTAATAGGAGTAACTAAGGTGCATCCAGAAAGTACTCACAGCGCTTCACTTGTTCAACATTTTGTCATATTCAAAAATGAATGACATTAATTTTTCACATCAAAATTCTAGACATAATACCTTATAATGACAAA